TGAAAGAATAGAGTAGATACAACAAAAAACCCAGGTAATAGATGCCATCCACAGAGTCGAATCCCTCAAGTGGCAAGGGCGGGACACCTGGCAAGAAGGACAGACAACAGATGGATAACAAAAATTACAACATAGTACCCACGAGGAATTAAGAGACCTAGAAGAAAACCAAACCTGAGATTGGACCATATTAGGAAATTAGCACTATTAGCAGGGATAACTTAAGCCCGCATAGCCAACAATAGATAATAATGGGCCCAACTACAAAGAGAGTATGTGAGGAAAGCCACAACATAATTGGAAATGGTTGAATAAGCTGAAAAGAATGATGATGACAACTACTAGAGACCTCAGCCCTACAGGTTAAATTTTATTATTTCATTTTAAATGGATTTGAAAGCAAAAAATGACGCCAATGTCAAATATCACCTAAAATTGATGAAAAAATCAATGTATATTAAAACATTCAAAATGAGTCCGTGTGATCAATATAATGGGCAATAAAGTTTGAGAAGACATTTGTCAAAATAGTATGAAATATTAATAACCTGATACCATTGACATTTAAGTGCAAGTAAAACTCAATACCATAACCGATATAATGTTTGTAACTAGATAGTAACTAGTGTTGATACTAAACTACTATTAAACCGCTACTGATGTTTTCATATAATCTTCCAGATTTAATTACCCTTTTACTAGTCACATAAAATTTTAATGTGCTGTTTGTTATAGAGTAAACTAGTTATTTTCCATTTGTCACAATATATCCCAACACCGTAATACTGCCACAGATAGTAACATTGAGTAGAAGAAAAGAATTTTTCAACAAACTTCGGAATGTTCAAACTATTTATAAAACTGTTGCTTGATTGACTACCATCGATTTTTAGAATCAATAATAAATAGTAGTCTTTGAAAAGTTGCTGTGGAATGTTTCACAATAAAAACGGGAGATCCAATTTTTTAATACTATGCAGTCTATTATCTAACAAAAGGTAAATATTTGGAATGCAATAAAACCCATCAAGGAATGAAAACCAGAAATGTTATAAACACTGGAGTTAATTCTTCTAAGAATATTGCTTGTAAAATACTTAGAAACAGAAACATCTGTTCTTTATCAGCTAAAATTGAGTTAAAATCTACGAAAACAAACCTGTAGCTTTTAGATGAAGACAAAGTTACTTAAACATTCAGTTTCCTTGGTTTAAAAATTACCGTTTAATAAATAATTTCAAAGACAATGACTGCATATTACCAATACTTTTCAAAATGACTGCGCTAACGAAGACTCTAAAGCATCCTACTCAATATGTGCTGATTCGTCGATTTTATGCGTATATGCGTCTAGTATGTGGTTTTTCGATAGTGATGTAGACATTTTTTTTAGTCTGAAGTTTCTCGCAATCATCTGGTATTTGTATTATTATTTTTTGAACTTCTTTCTATCTCTGTGTAATTTAAGGAAAGTCACTTTATTTTATCTGATAATGACAGTGTAATTATAAAGTAGTTATTTTAGTTTCAAAAATAGGTCCGAAATTGCTCATTTGGAGATAAAATGTTGTTAAAGATTGTTTAAAACGATGAAAAATCTATTAAAAAATTTATGCATGCAAACAATGCAAAAATATACATAAAATCAGTAAAGAAATTTCGGAAAAAATAAAGAATGCATGTAAATGTGTATGTTACGGACAATAATCTATACAGGGGATTTACGATGACATCCGGTTGATAACGTAAGTAATCAATTTTTTTCTGATAATATCGTCATATGGTCATATATTGTCAATTAAGGTCAATATTGATATATATCTACTATGAGCAGAACAACCATATAACAGTTAACATTTCCTCAATGTCTCTGTTAACCATTTCCAACTTTTTGAACCTTAACTTTGATATTCAGTTTTAAAAACAAGATATTCAAACCAATCAAATAAGTGTAAAAATTAAAAAAAACCTAAAAGAAAAGGTTGAAGCGAAAGCAATTTAAACTTATTGGTTCAACTTCATGTCTACGGGATAGTCTCTTACGGATAGCGGCTACACTCTTGAAATGCTAGCCGGTAGGCACAGAATAACAAGTCGTTAAATCGGCAGTTTGCAGCTTATCAATATTGTTAAAATACTTTGAATTTTTACGTTAATTCCTTGTCAGTAACAACCATGTCCAACTTAAGTAGGTATACTTACATATACAATATTGACTCATTATTACGAAACGCTGGTTTTACACCTTCGTCCATAACATCTACGAGTATGTACCTTTGATTTTTTAGTCGCACATAAATATACATTTTTCATTCTTTTTTTCCATAACATATCTAAAGAAATTTAGAAACTAATTTAATTGAATAACCATTTAAAACTGAACATATTACTGATATTTATATTAATGTATATGAATAAAATACTAAATATTCTGATATAAAATGTTATATTTGAAAAGCAAATATGAATTGTCTCAAAAAACGTATTTTTTTATTCTAACCATACATTTCCAGAGAAAAACATTTAAAGCGGAAAAAATTCCTGCACGTGAAATGCACTAAAGAAGCTTGTTTATTTATCTAGGCACCCGTTGAACTTTGTTTAAGTTTCCTTTAATTAGCATTATTTACGTAGAATCTGTAAAGCTTTCGCTTTGCAAAACCTGGTGCTAGGAAACAGCTAAGATTTTAAATTAGGTAGATCTGTCGTTTCTTAAAATATTTAAAATAGGTATCTAGTCTACATTTTAAGCTTTACAAAAACTAGTTTTAAAAAATTACAAAGTTATATATAAAAGTTTGATTATAAAGTAACAAATATTTGTTTTTTACTAAACACCATTTTTCTACAAACGTTTAAAAATTAAAAAATTACAAAAATTTTTGAAACCATATCATGCTTATGACTCCACAAATGATAATAGAAACATTTTCAATGTATATTTAAGAGAATTTGATATTAATCATATAAAACTAATATTATTCGTTTTATTAGTTATTGTTATCATCATCATTTTCAGCTTATTCAACCATTTTCAATTATGGTGTAGCCTCCCTCACATATTCTCTTTCTAGTTGGGCTCATTGTGGGTTATGCGGACCTAAGTTATCCTTGCTAATTTCCTAATATCATGGTCCCATCTCAGGTTAAGTTTTCCTCTAGGTCTCTTAAATGCTCGTGGTTACCATACTGAAATTTTTGTGGCACATCTGTTGTCCGTTCTTCTTGCCAGGTGTCCTGCCTAGTGCCATTTGAGGGATTTTACTCTGTGGATGACATCTATTACCTGGGTTTTTTGTCGTATCCACTCTTTTCTTTTACGGTTTCTCTTGCGAGCTGCAGTTTTCTTATGATGTTAGTTTTAAATATCCAGGTTTCGCATGCATAGGTCGTGACTGGTAGTACACATTGGTCGAATGTTTTCTTCTTTAGATAGAGTGTCACTTCAGATTTGAATATGATTGAGTTTCCTCCATGCATTATGATTAAGTACTCCATGCTAACTTAATTCTTCTGTTGATTTCTGATAGTAGAGATACCGAGCTGTGTATTAGTTGATTAGTTATACATTCATTCATATTTTAATAAAACTATTATACAAGGTAATATAAAAATTGAGTAAAATATTTGAATTTGCTTATTAGCTTGGCATTAATCTATCAACTCTTAACGCTAGTGTTAAACAAACCAAAAATAAATATGTTTATTTTGTTAATGACATTTAAATTAGTTTTCCATAATTTTAAGACTAATCAAAACACGATGGGAACCAAATAAATTTAAGGTGAAGGTGTTCTAATAATAATAATAATAATAATAGCTCCCATATATACCGTTGAACGCCTTGGGAGTAGCAAGGTACAGCTTGCCATACTTAGTCATTACAAGGAAAGTAATGTGTCTAGCACTACGCTTCAACCGCCTATTATTACCTCAGGATTGTGAATCCCAAGTATTCATTTAAGACTGAGTTGACCTAGGTACCCAAACTATTTTTATTTTAATAAAAATAGTCGGCTGATGAAATATCCAGTGTGGGATTTGAACCCACTACCGTGAGATTGGTAGACGAGAGCCTGTACCTCTACGTTACCGAGCACCTTTAGGTGCTCTAATTTAATTGTTTAATAAGTACCTTAAAATAAATATAAATGTGTAAGTTAGGTTGCCTGCTTTTATTAAATTTTGAAAGTGAATCGAATATTAAGGTATCATACACTAGTTTAATTAAAAAAAAAACGTTTGTTGTAGGCGTTCAATATACAACATTTGAAATTATTAATAACAATTTTATATATTTTTAATACTTTAAAAGACAAAATGTACCTTTATATGAGTTTATCACATTATTCCAACTTCATTTATTGGTTTCTTGTAACGGTATTTTGAAATCGTCCAACTATACGTTTTCAATGTTTAATAAAATTCAAAACTTTTTTTGTATGCAAGGATTATAGAAAATTGACAAACCAGAGAAGGTAAGGAGAGTTATCTCTTATGGGACTTGGTTTGGAAAAAGTAGGCATCTAAAAGGGAAAATAAGGCTTCACCAAATGACACAGTAGTTCTGAACAACAGAACAGTTCTAAAAAATTTTGGCGCTTTTTTCAAATGTAGAACTTTGCTACGGCAGCGCCATCTCCTTATCTTTATATAGCCGAGATAAAAATAACCGAGATAAAGCCGAGATATAGCCGAGATAAAAATAAGCCATGGTTGTGTAAGTATTCCTTTTCACAATTGTAGTGAAAAATACTACTAATTTTTTACACTGGAAAATTGTCAAATTGACAAACCAGAAAGTCAAAATTTGCTAGAAGAAAAAGAAAAGTAAAAAGAACTGACGCCAATGAATTGACATAATTGTTGTTGAAATTGTTCGATCGATAATTGGTTTTAGTATTTCTAGCAATATATTGCCAATTATTTCAGTCATTGTTTATCGCTTTATAGTTTTATTTTATTAATATTATACTAAAAAGATGTTTCTTCTTTTACAGAGTCCGAATCTGGATCCGGTTCAGCTTCCGCTTCCGGTGGATCGGAAGCTTCAGGATCGGGCTCGGCGGACTCGGAGGAACCAGGGATCGACGTGGATCCAAACTTGCCTTACCCTGGAATTGCCCCCATCGCATTGCGTTACCTGTCCCAGACCACCAGACCGAGGAGTTGGTGCTTGGCGCTCATTTCAAATCCATATCCTTTTTCTATACAATATAACATACTATTTTACTAAAATACACTTAAAATTTTACATTAATATCACGCTATATCATAATACTAAAAGATCTATTAGCATTCTAAGAATTTATATAGATCAAACTTTTATCTTAATTTCTGAAGAAATATTCATAGTAACTTAAAATTTGTGTTTCAAAAATTTTGTTTCAAAATGGAATGAAGAAGGGCTTCAAATAAAGCACAGGTAAGTTAACATTATTTTTTTTATAGTAAATATTTATATTTTACATGAGTTATACATATTCATAAATTATATATACGACTCATTGGGGTGATATATTCAGTATTCAGGCATATTCGGTGATATTCGTTGATAAACATATTTTGCGGTTTTATAATAAGTTCAATAATTGCTGGAGACAAAATGAGCGTATTTAATATATTTTTAAGAACAAATACTTTAATAACCTGTGTTTGATGTGCGTGATAATGAAACTAAGTATATGTAAGTTCTTCTTACGACGCCGTCTCCTTTCGAAGGTTGGCGATCCAAATAGCTAACGTCATTCTAGATACAGCCATACGAAATATGTCGATTGATGAGCAACCAAACCATCTACGAATGTCCTTTAGCCAGGAATTCTGGCGTTTGCCGATAGATCTTTTGCCCTGGACTTTGCCTTCAATTATTAATCTGAGAAGTTCATTACCCCTCATTATGTGGCCTATGTAGCGTGTTTTTCTTTCTTTGATGGTAAGCATGAGTTCTTTCTGTTTTCTCATTCGATTAAGAACCTCCACATTTGAAACTCTTTGGACCCATGATATTCTTAATATACGGCGGTAAATATACATTTCGAAGGCGAAGGATATATGTAAATAAATCAATCTTTTTAGCAAAACATACTGCTTAAAACGTAGTGCTAAATGAAGTTAGGTAATGTTTTAGAACTTCGGACTATCTGTATTTTTCAACTTCTATCAGCATCATAATTTTGAGTATTAATATTAACAATATCTATTTTGTTATTTTATAGTTTTTGTATTTCTCACAACTCATCATCATCATCATTATTTTTTTTAGCTTATTCAACAATTTCCAATTATAATGTAGCTTCCCTCACATATTTAGATACTCTCTTTGTAGTTGGTCTCATTGTTGTCTATTGTTGGCTTGCGGGCCCAAGTTTTCACTGTTAATTTCTAAATATCATAGTCCTATCTCAGGTTTGATCTTCTTCTAGATCTCTTCTCTTTTCTAGGTCATTTGAAATTCATCGTGGGTACCATGCTCTAATTTTTGTCGTCCATCTGTTGTCCGTCTATCTTGCCAGGTGTCCTGCTCATTGCCACTTGAGGGATTTGATTCTGTGGATGACATCTACTACCTGGGTCTTTTGTCGTATCCACTTTATTCTTTTACGGTTTGTCTTGGTTATTCCCAGTATATTTAGTTCCATGAAGTGTTGTGCGACCTGCAGTTTCCTTATAATGTCCGTTTTAAGTGTCCAGGTTTTCATGCATATAGGTCATAACTGATAGTACACATTGGTCGAATGTTTTCTTCTTTAGTTAAAGTGGCATTCTAGATTTGAATATGATTGAGTTTCTTCCATAAGTACTCCATGCTAACTTAATTCTTCTGTTGATTTCAGGTAGTAAATATCCGAGCTGTGTATTAGTTGTCCCAAATATTCTTCTACTATTTCCAATGTTGTGTTATTTATTAGGATGTCATTTCTGTCTACCAGTTCGTTGTACATTACTTTAGTTTTTGCTAAATTCATTTTGGGACCTACATTATGGGTGGCTGTATTTAGTTCGTTAAATCCTGCTTGTAGTTCTTCAGGACTATTGGCAATTAGGACTATGCCATCAGCATCGGCGAGTCTGATATGATTAAAACATTCTCCATCTATTCCTTATCCTTTGTTGGTCCAGTCAAGTTGACGGAAGATTTCTTCTAGTGTTGCGGTAAACAGCTTTTGGGATATTGCGCCTCCCTGTTACCCCTTTGTCAATATTTTAGTAATAAGACAAAATTTCGCTAAAGGACAAAAAATTATATTACTCAGGGATGAGAGGTTAGTCATTTATAACTGTCACTTCTTTGATTTAAATAAATTTGGACGTATCTGCTAAAACAGTGTTCTCGAAGACGGGAGGAGGGATAGGTGCCTTCTGAAATGTTAACTATTTTTTGTCCGTTAGGCAAATTTATTTGTTTTATGAGTAAAATACCGCTGACAAATTGGTATCTGTTGGATCAACGCAGCGGTGTTTACAAAAAATAACTATTTTATTTTTTAAATTTTCTTCTAGTGGCAAAAAATCCAGAAATATTTTTTGAAGAAATTAATTACCTATATAAAAAAAATCAAGTAATTTAGTTGCTACACTCAACGATATTTCTATTACCTCTATTTCTTAATTAATAAATTATCCAGTAATTTAGTTAATACCATTGAAAATTGTCATCTCTGAAACGATCATATTCTTAAATTACTAGTAATAACTTAAGCAAGATCACAAACAATCCTTTGCAAAGACAACCTGGTAGCGCGGAACTTACTATTTAATCCGTAAAGCGGTTATCCGAATGAGGTGAGTCAAATACGGAATTTCTCCATTAATTCCCGTAAAACGTATTAAGGCCATCGAAGCCTTGTACGACAACCTCTATAAATCATATAAAGTTCGGTAGGGCACTCGGACTGAGCAGTCGGAGGTAAACTGGCTGGCATGAAATAGGAAATGCAGCCAGTCATATTTAAGGCTTTCTAGGAAATTTGTCTGGGAGTTTCCAAGAAGGGCAGACGTGGAATTTGGCATATTTAGTGCTTGATTTTATCTGTTACGAATTTTTATGGAGGAAGTATGTAGTAAATGGAAAAATGAAGTTAAATATATAAGTACACACAAATAAATTTAAAGTTTTAATAAAAATATTTGTCTGTACAGGGTGGTCGAAATTGTTCTATTTTATTAGAGAAACTCCATTTCCTGGCTAGATACAACAAAACAGACATACAGTTCATACCAAATAAACTTGTGGTCACGTGATTGAGCTTGACCGAAACAGCGTTGCCCACTTTTATATATTTTCTTTTAATCAAAATATTTAAAAAAACAAAAATAAATTAATTATAAATATATAAACAGTTATTTTTCACATCAATAAAACTCACCTTCTTAACAGCACTTAAGTTTCTCTTCGCACTTTCTTAACAGCACTACCGCTTGCGATAAGTTTTTTACGGCTATTAAGCTAGCTTGTATTCTTTGCATTTAAAGAGGTTCTAAAAAGAACAATGTTCGACTGAAAGGTCTGCTAGTAAACATTTTTAAGCTTAAGGTATCCACAACAATATTTATTTAAAACAAAAACTCGTAATACAAAACTAAACTGTCAAAACGAATGACAATGCCAGGAACTAAATAAATAAATACCGCAACCTATTGTGACATTTGTGTTTTTTACAGCAGAGCTACCACTTGAATCTTCAGCACAAAATTTAAATTCCAGTTGTCCAATTTAAGTGTTATTGAACTAAACCAGAATAAAACACTCCATAACATAAAAACTGCTCACACAAAAATACTACAATGTATTTGTATATTATTATATAGAAAGTTTGCTAAAATTAAATTTACACATTTTAGTCATAATTATCCTTGTTCAGTTAATTTTTAGTATGTTTTTATTTTAGATATCTCAATGAATAAAAAAATGTATTTAAAACACTTTTCGCTGGGTTGTGATTTTTTAAATTGGACTTTTCTCTAGAGGGAAAGAGTAATCAGATTGAAAGTAGAGTTCGTTCGGAGTAGCATCAATAATAAAGTGCTATAAATTAAATGTAAATTTTTAATTCGATACTGCCAACAATCCAAAACATTTATTTATTTTCAATTATTTGTTGGGTTTAGACATAAGGCTTTAAGTTGAATATATTAAGGCGGCATCCCACGGCGCGTGTATCGGCAAGCCACGAGCAAGACTCGCCGATACACGAGTCGTGGGACCGGGCAGCTATGGGGCAGCTCGTCATTTTTGGCGCGGCTTGGACATACCCGCTTTCTGTCGGTAAACTTGACGATACTCAAAGGAAGGCGAGCCTCTTCGAGCTCGGCTCGTGTTGTGTTCAACCCGATCCAACGATCCTCGAAACGAGTACGGAGGTGCGGTTCAGTATCAGTGTCGTCTTGACTTAAAGATACATAGACAATAAATAAGTCAATCGCTATAATATCAATATAAAGTGATTTAGTATAATCTACATCCATATTATCTTTATTTTCAATAAAACCGTTTAACTTTTAAAAACATACCAACCAAATAGGTAATTTGTAAAACTACAAGTTAATAAGAACTGTTTAAATTTTTCATACGTAAAATTCTAAAAATTCTTCACTTTTTTATATACAGAAGAATGACAGATACAAAAAAATAAATAGGACTAGTTTTCACCCCCTCCCCCAGTATGCTATATCAAATTGTATTGAATTTAAAGGGGCAACCTATAAAAGTACTTACATATTGCGGCTTTAATACAAAGACACTCTCCACCAACACTTTTTTTTGCCGTTCTTGTTGGTTCAAAAAATTACCCAACATGATGTAATAAGCGGCTGCAACACAAGCTGCATTTTGTGTTCGTCGATTTTTCGTTCATGTTGCAACACCACTGGCACGACTAAAAACTAAATTTGCCAAACCAACACGAGCCTTCTTCACGACCTTTCACGCATCGTGGGATCGCATCCACTTGCCAAGCCCAGATTAACGAGCCAAGCCTAGGCGAGCCTAGACGAACTCAAGCTATGAGCCAGGATCGCCGATACACACGCCGTGGGATGCCGCCTTTACTATCAATGAGTTAACTTATTTTTTGTTAATTTTAAATTATCCAATGAGGAAAATTGTGAAAGTGTATAAGAAAAGTTTGAAAAGGTGGTTTAAAATGTATATGAATCTTTAGACAAGAAATTTAAAAGTAGCTATTATTTTCATGCAATTTAAAAAAAAATAGGTTGCTAAACTAAACTGTATTT